TTCAGAAACCATCTCTGTATCATCGGCTCCTGGCGCATCCTTTGTCTTCACCTTTGGGTCACACTGCTCGTCCTGCTCCACGAGTCCCACAAGCTCATCTTTTTTGTGCTCCTGGATTTCAGGACCTCCCTTTTTCTCCGCCAACGGCTTTGCCTCATCTGCTGTAGTTCGCTCGGTGTCGACTTCCGGTGAACTTCCAGACGGCAACGCTTCTCCCTTCATGGGAGTGGACCCATCATTGGAGTCCTTTGTCTCACCTTCTGCAGCAGGCAAATCTTCTTCCACTGCAGGGCAATTGAGTCGATCATCCACGGCAGGCACGCTTTCTTCCACCGCAGGCTCCTTTGGTTCCATGGCCTCCAAAGGAGAATTTCCACCATCATTGACCACAGCTGCCTCATTGGCTCCGGTGTAGCCCTTGTCATTTCGTTCCTCGCTGCTAACTTCAGGTTGCACCAGTGCGTCCACCTGTGAACCTCCATCATCAGCTGCTGCGGAGACCTGCGCCCCATTGTTGCAGTCGCCCGTGGAACGTACCACCACATGCACCTCAACCCGTGCTTCCTTCGCACTCCAGGTAATATCTGGCGCATCAACCCGCGCATCATTGGCGCTCCAGGCCTCATTTTTCAGATCATCCGTGTCTCCAGCTATTCCAGAAGCTTCTTTTTCCCCTTGAATGGCAGAATTCTTGGCACCAAACGAAGAGACCTCCTCAGTCGTAACACACAACTTTTTCTCTCCATCCTCCGAATCTCCAGGACCACCTTCCTGAACAACAGGTACCACATCCACCACTCGCTCTTCTGCAGCCGACACAGTTCCGATCACCTCATTGGGCATTTTCTCTTCTGGATCCACCAATTCCATCGCTGCCCCACCCTCAGAAAGCGCTTCTGTTTCTTCCCGATCCAGGTGTTGAGCTCCAGCGATGTTGGCTTGGTTCCCAGGAATCCCTTCCTCATCAGGAGAACCCGAGGTCGGGGCGTCACCATCAGCCCTAGGACCGCTATCCCTGATAGTAGAGGAAAAATCTTTTTCACCTAAACTATTTACACTACCCTGGAATGCCCTCGTAGACTCAGTCTTCGGAGTAGAGGATGAAGAATCCAGTGCCGCCTCCATTTCCAGCTCATTGCCCAAAGGAGACCCAACCACCTCGTCACTCTTCACCTTTTCACCTACCACCGGCAATGTCCACTTGGTTTCGTGCGTATCCAGGCAGTAATAATATTGTCTCCCATCTTCATGGAGGTGCAATTCCCACATTGTGCCATCACACGCTTGGATCAGATGCTCGTCTTTCCGAAAACCGTCCCTTTCAGAAACCTGTCGCATCTCGTCCTCTTCTTCTGACAGCTGTCGCAACCGTTCAGCCTCCATCTGTAGGATCTCCTCCTCCCCCATGGCGTATTCAGCAGCAGGTGCAGCTTCAAAGCCGTCCGCACCCTTCTGTTTGTGACCGCTTCCACCACCTTGGGAACTCGAAGATGGACCCTTTTTGATCTTGTTCAACGGCCTCCTGGTCGCTTGTAGCACTTCTCCAATCAGATCGGTCTGAGACTCTTGGTCTACCATTCGACCCGAAGTCGAAGACGACGGCTGGTACCCGTGTTTGTGTAACACTCGTAAAACAGTCACCTCCATTTCACGATCTATGCCACCAGTCGCATCCCAGTTCCTTTTTTCACCAGGCTTTGGCGGTACAGAAACAGCACGTCCTTCAGCTTCAGCATTGCTAACCATATCCCTATTGGGATTCATACCCACATTGGGGCTTTCTGCAACCAAGGCCTCTTCCAGATGTTCTTCAGCGTCGGGAATCACCTCTTCCAACACCGCTCTTTCACCCAGAGACTCAGCTGCACCATTTCCAGCTCCACCATCTTGTCCACCATCCGAGGCAAGTTGGAGCCATCGCTTCGGAGAAGGCATTGCTTCTTGATCCCAAAACCTTGAAAGAACACTTAACCGCAGGGAACCTAATTTGGGCTCATAACCTACGGGGGGACAACCAAGGAAGGAAATCAACTCCCCTAATCGCCCTGAACTTATATTTCCCAGATCGAACCAAGAAACAACCAAGAACACGGATAAGAGCAACCCAGGGGGGAAGGAAAGGGGGAAGGAATCCACACCCTTACCAAACCCTAAGAACCCAGGCACTTCTTTTTGAACTTGTGGCTTTCTGTTCAAGCCCATCTTGAGCCAAATACGATTACCGGGTTCATTAACCCTTCCAACTTCCAACACTAACTCCTTTCTACAATACCAATTGCAGCTCCGCATAGGGTTTAGGGTTTAGGGGTTTAGGGTTTAGGGTTTAGGGGTTGCACAAGGTTTTTTGGGGGTTTTCAAGGAGGGAGGGCCACCCCCCGAGCCATAATGCAACATTATGACAATGACGGCCCTCGCTTGCAAGTATACCTGAGCTTGTGATAGGGTGAACCCGAACCCCGCTTTGGTCCGTTTAAGGCAGGGCGGTTTTCGGGCTCTGCGCATAGCTGTGGCCCCACGCCGGCTGCGGCTCGCTTTTCGAGTCCAGCCGTCCGGAAGCTCCTTTCGAAAGGGAAAATAGGGCTGAGGTTTAGGGTTTATTTAGGGTTTAGGGTTTAGGGTTTAGTGTTTAGGGTTTAGGGTTTAGGGTTTAGGGTTGCAACAGCCAAACCTCTAAACCCGAAGCCCTTGAGGCTATTTAAAAGTGAGGGTGATTAGGGCTTGGGGTATAGGAACTGCCTCTGCCCATCTTCTCAAAAGGCTAGACCATGAACCCCAGTTGCGAGGACCATGACCTCAAGGAAGTCCTATATATGGAATCCCCAGGAATGCAACAGGTACATGGGTAGTTCTCGATATTCGGGTCCAGGTTTCGGGGATTTTTCGATCGGGGACCCAGGGACCTCAGTTTAGAGAAAATCACTGTAAAGTTCTTGACTTCCGTCCACAATACATGAAATGAGAACTCTACAGGATGTCCTGCACAAACTCTATAAACCTTGAGACGGCTCCTAACAAGCCAAACCCGAAAACTTAAATCCAAAACCCGAAACCCTGAATCCCAAACGCAAGCAGAGGCTTGGGTTTAGGGTTTAGGGTTTAGGGTTTAGGGTTTAGGGTTTAGGGTTTAGGGTTTAGGGTTTAGGGTTTAGGGTTTAGGGTTTAGGGTTTAGGGTTTAGGGTTTAGGGTTTAGGGTTTAGGGTTTAGGGTTTAGGGTTTAGGGTTTAGGGTTTAGGGTTTAGGGTTTAGGGTTTAGGGTTTAGGGTTTAGGGTTTAGGGTTTAGGGTTTAGGGTTTAGGGTTTAGGGTTTAGGGTTTAGGGTTTGGGATTTAGGGTCTAGGGTTTAGGGTCTAGGGTCTAGGGTTTAGGTACCTGAAGCCTCGAGTGTAGTTGATTTGGAGGTTGAAGGTTCAGGCTTTGGAGTTCAAAGGTTCTCCTGTTGTCAATTTCCTAGGGTACCTTGAACTACTATTTGCATAAGAACCCCCCTAAATGGTCCCTACAGGGACGATGATCTTTTGTTTTGGGTGCTTCTTAAGCAAACAGTAGTGAATTGTACTAGATTGGGGCGTTTGGGGGTCAACCCGGCCCGCGAAAGGGTCGAAACTTCGGGTTCTAGGGATCAATTCATCCCCTCCCCCCCTACCCCCAAATATTCAATACTCCATTGTTATAGTATACAGGTGGTATTTAGTATTTGTGGACAGGGGGGCTGGGAGGGAATATTAGGGGAGGGGATGAAGCTTATGTTTAACGGTTTGTTCTAGAGCTCCAAGTATGGGCTCTGCATTCGGGTCCTGGTTATGACAACCCTTCTATACACTACATACAATAAGGGCCCATACTTCGGATCCCTAGAAACAAGGGTAGGGGACCATACTTGGAACTCTAAAGCCTGCACCCTAAACCGTAACCCTAAACGCTAAACCCTAAACCCTAAGCCCTAAGCCCTAAACCCTAAACCCTAAACCCTAAACCCTAAACCCTAAACCCTAAACCCTAAACCCTAAACCCTAAACCCTAAACCCTAAACCCTAAACCCTAAACCCCAAGCCCATGGTTCCAAACCTTAGATTTGTTCTTGAACCATTGGCAGGTTGAGGGTTCGATGGTAACCTCCTAGCTTTCTCAAGTGGAAGACTCGAGCTTCGGTCCAGCTTCGGGGTCTTGAAGTATGAAGGGTTCAGTTTAGGGTTTAGGGTTTAGTTTAGGGTTTAGGGTTTGGGGTTTAGGGGTTTAGGGGTTTAGGGGTTTAGGGGTTTAGGGGTTTAGGGGTTTCGGGGTTTAGGGGTTTAGGGGTTTAGGGGTTTAGGGGTTTAGGGGTTTAGGGGTTTAGGGGTTTAGGCGGTTTAAGGGTTTAGGGTTCGGATGTAAGGCATACGATCATGGAATCCCAAAACATCCCAGACGTTAGAACAAAGGAACGGTTAGGAGACGGCCTAGTGAGTAAGGCCTTCTTACTGCGACACTGCTCTTGCTTCAGGCTGTTGCACTCGGCCATGGTGCCTTTACTAGTTCTCTAAAGGGAATTCCCTAAACCCTAAACCCTAAACCCTAAACCCTAAACCCTAAACCGTAAAGGTTTTTGGCACCTGAACATCCCCCTATCATTCCCCCCATAACAATTCAAGGTCTAGGGGCATGTTCCGGATTCCCGAATAAGAACAAGTACAGGACGCCAAAAAAGCACATAAGCAAAAATTAGGATAGGGAAATCCCAAATAAACCCCCTTATAATGAAGCCCAATAAGGTAGGGATATCCCTATAACATTCTTATGCTTATGTCCTTTTGGGGTCCCTAAAAGTGGCGCACCTAGCTCCTTCACGCCACTTTACTCTATTCACGAGTTGCTTGCTGGATCATAAGTTTCTCAAGCCCGTAAACCATGAACGCATCATCCTAAGCCCCACAAGCCTGAACCCTACAACCCTATAAGCCCAAAACCCCTGAGACTCCCAAATCCTGCACCCTAAACCAGGTGGCCAGAACTTTTTCCCATCTCAGTCGGCTTTCTCTTTGGGTCGCGCCCAACAGACCTTGCGGAACTGCGGGCTCAGGACTCCTAAGACCCTAAGACCCTAAGACCCTAAGACCCTAAGACCCTAAGACCCTAAGACCCCAAGACCCTAAGACCCTAAGACCCTAAGACCCTAAGACCCTAAGACCCTAAGACCCTAAGACCCTAAGACCCTAAGACCCTAAGACCCTAGGACCCTAAGACCCTAAACCCTAAACCCTAAGCCCTAATTGGGGGCTCGTAGACGTGTCTTGTGCCTGGGCAACGTTGTGACAGAACTAGTTCACGAAACGTCTCTTGGGGTTCCTACTAACCAACCGGCGTCTACACACGGCCTAAACCCTAAACCTATATGGATGTTCCCTAAACCCTACACCCCAAAACCCTAAACCCTGAACCCTGGACCCATCCCCCGAATCATTTATGAGAGGGTCCTAAAACTTCCTTCGCTGATACTGGAGTTGAGTGACCGCCACGGAGAAAAAGAAGCCTTAAACAGAAATCCTCAACCCTGGGCCTACTGAAATTCTGAAGGACCAAGAACTTATCGTCTTACCCACAAAGCCTCAGCGCGAAAGACTTTAAAGCAAGTTCAGCCCCGCCCCAGACTCGAACCTCTCAAAATCCCCGGCCCTACCCAGCGAGCCTCTCGCCCCCTTTCATTGAGGAATGAAGACTAACTCATGGCAAGGTGACCGGTTGTAGTTTTGAGGAATAGAGCTCTCATATTAAGGGGTATCGGTATTGGGCTCTTCGTAGTCACTCGTCATTTCCCAAAATGGGGGTACCCCTTTGATACAATAGAATCCCCTTAATATGGGACCCCCAAACAGGGCACCCCTATTCTCGGAAACCCCCTAATGGACCCAAAGCGTGCCGAAGTGGCCGCCAGCACCGGCAGCAAGGACAGGGCCAAGGCGCCATGCACGGACACTGCCCTGCACAATTTTCAAGGGGGTTCGCGTTTGCACAAAAATACCCCACCCTGACCCCTAAACCCTAGACCCCAAACCCTAGGGTTTAGGGTTTAGGGTTTAGGGTTTAGGGTTTAGGGTTTAGGGTTTAGGGTTTAGGGTTTAGGGTTTAGGGTTTAGGGTTTAGGGTTTAGGGTTTAGGGTTTACCTTTGACCAAGCCCGACACCCCAACTCTTTTGCAGACTTGAGGCTGGGGCTGAGCTTCGAAGGGCCTTAGTCTTCTGGGCGGGTTTAGGGTTTAGATTTAGGGTTTAGGGTTTAGGGTTTAGGGTTTAGGGTTTAGGGTTTAGGGTTTAGGGTTTAGGGTTTAGGGTTTAGGGTTTAGGGTTTAGGGAGCTAGTCTGGGGATTGCCTGGGTTCCCCTAAGGAAGCAACTTGGTGGTTCTTGGGTAGTTATGAGTAGGGGCCACAGGCACGCCTAAATAGGGCTCTAAGCAGAGTTGCCAGTATGATAAACCCTACTTACAACTTCTGGCTACCCATGAAGCTGCAAGTAGTTTATCCCCGCGGCTTCGCGGTCTCAGTTCCGCGGCCACGGAGCGCTCGCAATGCATGCAGGTGCATCGCTCCGGCCGTGAAGCTCACGTAGTTCATTCAAATTATATGGGGACTGTAAGGGTTAGGGCTTCGCGTAGATCTCCTAGAGCCCCCAAAAAGCCTGGTTTAGGGTTTAGGGCTCATTCCGAAGAACTCTTGGGCCACCTCACAACAGGAGGGCCGCAAACCCTAAACCCTAAACTATAATCCCTAAACACCCTAAACCCGAAACCCTAAACCATAAATCTCGGGTTTAGGCAGCTGGGTTGAGGGTGAACCCTCCCCACGGCCTTCGGATAAACCAGAAGAGGACCAGCAAGGCCTGACGCTTGGGTCTGAGAGGGGTTTAGGCTTTAGGGTGTTGTTTTAGGGCTTTTAGGGTTTCTAGCGTTTAGGGTTTAGGGTGTCAACCCTAAATCCTGAACCTTCTAGGGTGTGCCTGAAGGCTCCAATGTAGTTCCTTTCTGGGCTAGCGATAGGGGGTTCTAGTTAGTATACCCCCCCCAAAAAAAGGTACGACATAGTAGCCTTCGGGTAGGGTCTTTAGGGTTCAGGCGGTAGAACGACTTCAGTCTGAAACAGCTACTAGGGATGAACGGAAATGCCCTGGGAACTGCCACAAAAGAGAACCCCAGGAATAACGTAAAGTAAAAGTAACTAGGGTTTCAGGCTGTAGAGCTTTTCTATGTGCTATTCATGCTGTAGAGCTTTTCTATGTGTTATCAAAGGATTAGGGACCCCAAAAGAGTATCACTAGTTTCGGAAATCCCCATGCACCCCCCAAAACAGTCTGCAAGCAAACCACATGGAAGCCCTGATCCCAGAAAACAGAGGGGTAAACCCCAAACCCCAAACCCCAAACGCTAAACTCTAAACCCTAAACCCTAAGCCCTAAACCCTAAACCCTAAACCCAAGCACCTTGTCATCAGTAGGGCCAAACCGCGACTCCAGAGCCGCCAGAAAGCGTGCGGCCTCCCCAAGGGCAAAGGAGGTTCAGGGTGTAGGGTTTGGGGTTTAGGGCTTAGGGTTTAGGGCATGGGGTTTAGGGTTTAGGGTTAGGGTTTCGGTTTTCGGATTTGGGGTTGAGATGGGCCGCCAAACCTGTTAGGCAACTCCACCGTAGAGGCCTTCTGCGGCCACCAGGACGGCGGCGCAGGAAGCGCCAGGAGCTGCGCTAGCCTGGGGCAGAGGCTCCACAACTGCCGGCAGTCGAAGGGGCTATTGGGTTGATACTTGGAGATTCATGGTACCTACTCACCAATAGCTGTACTTACAACTGTACTTATAAAGGTACTTATAACCATATTAGGGCACTTAAGGGGCTTTTAAGCGGGATAAGTACAGTTCTAATTGGTTCATAAGTACCATGAACCTCCCAGTAGGGCTTCGAGCGCTAGGGCTTATGACTTTCTTTTAAGTTTAAAAGAGACTCACCCTAAACCCTAAACCCTAAACCCTAAACCCTGAACCCTAAACCCTAAACCCGAATGCCGAAACCCTAAACCCTAAACCCTAAACCCCAACCCTAAGGTCGTTCAAACCTTTCGGAGGTCACAGGGCCTAGGCCGAGGACCTCGGCTTAGGGCTTAGAGGTCGGAATAATTTCGAATAATATTCGCTTATGGTCCCTAGAAAAGAATGTAGAACTACCCCAAAACCCTATTCTAATTATTAAGGCCGCTATGGTAGGCTTATAGGGCTTAGGGGAAGCCAAAAAGCAAAAAGTTGCCTGCTGCTGTCCAAAAGGGCGGGGAGTCCGCGGCATAGCCCTGGTAGTAGAGGATGCAATCCTTGGATCGCTACATCCTTGCCCCTGTGGTAATAAGAGGGGAACACCTTCTGTGGGGAACCTAACCATAAGGTTAGAATTCCCTAAACGCTAAACCCTAAACCCTAAAGCCTAAACTGGCCTAAACAACTACAAAATGGAAAAGGGTCCTAGTGGTGAGCGGAAACCCCTCAACCTTTTCCAGGAGGGCAGCCATCCCTCCACTCTGCATCCTTCCAGCCCTCAGCCCACCAACCCTTCAACCCCTCAGCCGCTTCACCTCTGAAACCTTCAAGCCCCATGAGCCCTAAACCCTTTAAACCCCAAAGCCAATTCTGCCCCTGACTTCTGAGCGGCCAAACACTAATGCCCAAGGTCAGGAGTAAAAGTGATAGTGGTAGAATTAGTAGGAGTGAGAGTGAGAGTGAGAGTAAGAAGAAGAATAAAATCTCGCTAGCCCCAAGCATGCGCCCTACTTAAGACTTACTTACTCCGTCCCCCCCAAAACCCAAAGCCCTAAACCCTATAAACCCTAATCCCTACTTGAAGGTTCAGGGTACCTACGAACCAATTCTAACTGTACTTATAACCCTACTTATAATACCCCTAAAGAGCCTTATAGGGGTAATCCCCTATAATCCCCCCCCCCCCCCATCCTCCATGTCTTTGCCTCCAAGCCACGAAAGCAACACCTTGGTCCGGCCGGCATTCCGACTTCTGGGCTGAAGGCTTCAAGGTACGAGAGGTGGGTGTAGGGTTTAGGGTTTAGGGTTTAGGGTTTAGGGTTTAGGGTTTAGGGTTTGGGGTTTGGGGTTTCGGGTTTAGGGTGCAGGGTTTACTTCGGGTGCAGGGTTTAGAGGTTCGGGCTTCAGGACATTTGGGTTTGGGGTTGAGGGCTTAGGTCATGGGGCTTGATCGCCCTGACATATGAAGTCTATGCCGCAAGGCCCGAATCAACACCTAGACTCGTCCCGGAGAGAGAAGGGAAGAGAGAGAGAGAGAGAGAGAGCCGACAGACTCTAGGGTTTCGGTTTTCAGACGGTTTAGGGTTTAGGGTTTAGGGTTTAGGGTTTAGGGTTTAGGGTTTAGGGTTTAGGGGAGAGCTGAGAAAAGGGAGAGGAATCAAAAACGCGTCGAGCACTTTACAACACGATGCGGCCAAGGCGCGCTCGAGGTTCCGGAGCTTAACCTCAGACAGCTCTGAGCGTGCTGTGGAGGGTTTGGGGTTTAGGGTTTAGGGTTTAGGGTTTAGGGTTTAGGGTTTAGGGTTTGGGGTTTCGGGTTTCGGGTTTCGGGTTTAGGGTTTAGGGTTTAGGGTTTACGGGAGCCGTGGTCCAACGCATGAGTTAGCTCTTAGGGCGGTCAGGTCCTTTTTGGAGTCCTCAGGAACTGGCTTTCGTCTGTGGGCACATGCCTTTGCCCTACCCTAAACGTAACGGGCCATCGGTCGGTGCAAGGCAAGAGCGTTATTGCGGTTTTGGTCCTACGCCCGGAAACCTAGACCCTACACCCCAAACCCGACGTTTTTTAAAAGCACCCTTAACCCTGCACCCTAAACCTTTCACCCCAAAAATCCCAAACCCCAAACCCTTCACCCCGAATCCCTGCACCCTGCATCCGGAACTACGCTGCACTTTAAGCACCCCAAACCCTGAACCCTAAATCAAGAACGCTGCGACCTAAATCTCCCCAAACCCTAAACCCTAGACCCTAGACCCTAAACTCTAAATCCAAAACCCTAAACCCTACTACACCCTAAATCCCGAACCCTGCGCCCTGAGCCCTGACATGCTCCTCATGCCGTCCCAGGCGCTAAGGGCCCAAGCCGAGGTGGGGGAGGCACCTGTCACGACCCGCAGAGGGCGAAACTCTAAAGATCTAAAGGCCCTAGGGTTTAGGGTTTAGGGTTTAGGGTTTAGCTAGGGCTTCGAGTTTGGGGCGTAGGTCACAGTAGATAACTCAATGAACCGTGATTCAGAGTTTAGAATTCAGGGTTGCGAGGTGAGGGTGAGGGTTGCCAGCTGACCATTACGACATGAAGATGCACATTGCGTGGTGTGCGCGTGCGCACCACTAAACCCTAAAACCGACTGCGGTATGCGTAAGAACCTCAAAAGAATTTAAAATAATAATCGCTATACTACCCTTAATATGGAATAACATTTGTATTTTCCGGGGTTCTCCGCATCCGTCCCAACACCAGACCCCAAAGACTGCCGGCGAAATGTGTTTGAAAGCGAACCCTCCACATGTCTTCGAGCCTTCCTACCTTATGTCGGATCAACGGAGCCTAAAGCCTAAACGCCAAAATGTTTTCAAGCCCTACGCACATCAACCCCTTGAACCCCTGCCCGGTCAACCCCATAAGCTCGAAACCCAACCCTTACTAATTAACCCCGTTTACCTTGAAGAACCCATGTGCACCCTTCTGAAAGCCCTATATACCCTAACCCTGTAGTGAACCCTTATTAACCATGACTAGGCCCTTCTTAAACCCTAAGAGCCTAAACCCTAAACCCTAAACCCTAAACCCTAAACCCGAAACCCTAAACCCTAAACCCCAAATCATCCTGGGCCCTGTGAACGCCCAACAGAGTCCGGCAGCCTCGCTAGGGCCGCGCGCCAAGGCAAGGACCGGGCCGCCTGGAACAACGTCAGGGATTACGGTTTACGGTTTAGGGTTTAGGGTTTAGGGTTTCGGGTTTAGGGTTTAGGATTTAGGGTTTAGGTTTTCGGGTTTCGGGGACTGGGATGTTGGATCTGAAGAAGATCTTCTTGTGAATGCCCATAAGGACACGCAGCATATACACTCACGACTCACCACTATTTCATGAGGAAACATGCATACACCCGCCAATTGCAGCAACTTAGACCCTACCTTCTGAAGGATGTAAGATTTGACCCTAAACCCTAAACCCTAAACCCTAAACCCGAAACCCGAAACCCTAAACCCTAAAGGACGCAAGGTTGAGGATTTTGGACTCAGGGCGCAGGGCATAGGATTCAAGATCTCCGGGCGTAGAAGTGAGAATGTTCAGGCTGAGGCTTGGGGTGGTATGGTGTGTAGCCTCAGGGACCCCTTCCAGCCTGGATGAACTCCGTTTTAGGGCCGTTGCTCCTTAGACCCGAAACCCTAAACCCTAACCCTTGCACTCTAACTCCTAACTTTTTGTAGCATTCTCATTTTCATTAGAATCTTGAAGTCCAAGCCCCAAACTCGCAAGGCCCAAGCCCAGGTCCTGTGCCATCCAGGGCGAAGTCCGTCAGTCCGGCCAGGAATGCCAGTGTCCAGTCCACGGCGTAATTCGCATGGGCAAGACCTGTGCCTGTGATCATAGGGAGGTTTTTTTGGCGGAGGTTCCCCCCTTACTTAACCAAACGGTGTACAGGGACTTCTAAACTAAGTGATAGCACGTTAAACCTAGTTGAAGGCACTTAGCTCTCCTCATAAGCTAGGGGCTCCTCCTTGTCAAGGGGGGGGAGAACAAGAGGAATGTCAATCGTCGGGTTCGTGTGTTCGAGTTGAAGGAGAAGCTTCAGGACGAGCAGGACAAGGATGATTGTGATGATGATGATGATGACGATGATGATGATGGTGATGGTGATGGTGATGATGATGATTGCGATGATGACGAAGAGGATGAGACGCAGGAGGAGGAGGGGGAGGAGGAGAACGAGGAGGCGACTGAGGAGGAGGAGGAAGATAAAGCAGATGAACTAGCCAACCTTGCTTAACCGACCTCGAATCCTACACTACTCACCCCCAAATCGTGCAGTCAAATAGAACTGCGTCAACCTGAACATGTAGGGTTTGCATGGGACCTTGAAGCCCTAAACCCTAAACCCAGATGCCCAACCAGGTTTAAGTTTAAGGTTACCTACTCAACTGGCAGGTTCGCCTCAACTAGGTAGTTTGGAGACCCTGTCAAAGGACTTCTTCCACTGCAAACAGTATCGAAGGTGCTCTCCGCAGGCATCGTCCGTACAGCCAGCGCTGGCTGCGAGTAGCCTGCAGCAAGACCAGGGCTTCGGGCACAAGGGTCTTAGGGTTTCTGGCTTTAGGCTTTTAGGGTTTTTGGGTTTAGGGTTTTAAGGCTTTAGAGTTTTAGGGCTTTCGGGTTTTGGGGTTCTAAAGGGCTTTCGGGCTTGGCGATTCTAGGGCTTTCCGCTTTTAAGGTGTCGGTTCTAGGGCGGTAGGGCTCCATATGAAAGATGCTGCCACTGACAGTATAGTCTATCCTCACTTTCCTCGACATTCAGATGGACACAGATTCGCACGGAGATGTTTTTGCTGCTTCTTTGATCGTTTCTTTAATGTGTCATGAATCTGTTATGTATTATTGAAGCTAGGAACCTACATGGGGCTTTGTCTGGAGTTGGTCACACAGGATCTATTTGTTTGTAGATAGTGTCATGTTACTTATATAGTAGCCTGTATGTCGGTGTATGTGATTTTGGGAGGAAATTGCGTGCTGATCTTGTTTGAAAGTACTGCAAGAAACTGATGAGAAATAAAAATACTACAATTCTTGAGCTAGTGATAAGTGAAAATCGCGCGGAAATTGTCATGCTACATCTACTCGATGTTCTGTTTGCTTGCTGAAATATTGCTGTATGGTTTTCATGAGTAGTCTACGCGCAAATTTGAGCAGGTCTCGTCATGCTGAGTCCAACTGACATTTTTCATGGTTATGATTTCTATTGCGCTATTTGGCCTAGTAATCTACATGTACATTTGCGTGGAAACTGTGGCGCGGTAAGCATGTATCCGACAATTTCGTACCACTATTGAATTGTGATTATTTGCTTTTGATTCGTACTGCTTAGCTGAATGCGCGCGGAAGTGGTATGCTGGATTTGTTTGTTCGAGGATTTCCGGTCCATCTGTTCACACAATAATACTATGGAAAGTTCACGCAGGAATATTAGTACATTCGGTGAGCTAGTGAAAGAGAACACCGCACGAAAACAACTGGGAGAAGCGCGTCGCAGCATCAAGTATGGAGACATATGGGAGACAAATGGCGCGTCAATGGGATTCAACAGTTCCAGATTAAAAAATTGAAAAGGTTTATTGCAGCAAAAAGTACACAAAGTACAACCGAACTATATTCAACGTATCAATATACTGATAAATAAATACATATATATATATATATATATACGTATATATATATATATGTATACGTATACGTATATATATATATATATGTATATATACATATATGTGTGTGTGTAATATATGTGAACAGATTATACAATAGGGAAATCGAGTAAGTAGTAAGGACTTGACATGTTGTAATTTCGTATATATGTATATACACAACAGGCAGGTAAAAAACTCAGATATCACACGCTGTAGCCAGCCGCACAACAAGGTTCAGATGTAAAAATTTACTGTATATCTGTCAGGACAACTAGGGCATGTGTCGACATGGGGTTTTTAGGGTTTAGGGTTGAGGTTTAGGGTAACAGCTGCCAGGTGGCGGACGCGCGCCAGAGTGGCGTGGATGACCTTGGACCATGGAGGGATTGTACTCAAGATTTGGTCGGCTGTCTAAACTGGTAGTCGTTCTTAGGGTTTCGGGTTTAGGGATAAAGGTTTAGGGATTAGGGTTTCGGCAGTAGGGTATTTCAAAGGTACCATTTGGATCTTGGTTCCCCAAAAAGAGCAAAGGGTACCACTGGGCTACCAGGTAAAGTGTAAGGACCCGAGTTTACCTAAATCCTGAAACCCAGAAAACCAAGCTTAAATGCAGAAAGGCAGATTGAACCAGACTCTGAACTAAGGTACTCGGAGCTTCATCAAATGCCCCAAAGGCCAACACGTTTTAACATAAGAGTGAAGAAATTTGGGTTGAGGTTGAGAGGTTGAGGGTTGAGGTTGAAATCTTGGGATGAGGGGACATCTCCTATAGGCCTACGTCTGGTGACCGACTGTCTGGAAAACTCAGGTTCGTGCACATGTTGCTAGCGCCGTGCTAGCGCCAGCAACCCACTGTTTTCCAGCCCGAATACACGCCGAAACCGTGTTTGTTGGCACGTTCTTTTCAGCCCCTACACGTCTCAAAACCATGATTTCCAACCCTCTTGGCTCGAAAGAGAACAACGGTTGCCAGCCCCAAAACGTGCCAACAGCGCTTGGCCCTTTCCTGCCCCAGAGCACGCCAAAAGCATGATGATAGGAACCACGGATATCTATTGGGGGAGTAACAGTCCTTAATAGGGATTATGACAGTGGTACTCGAAATCCCGGCTAAGGAGCTGCTAGTAAACAGGGGGAACATCTCAAGATGTCAACCACGAGCCCCGCCAACACCTGGTTCGCAACCGTCCATCTCAGATGCTACACTGCTAACTTGGGGCCAAATGCCTGCATGCTTACCTCTCTCTCTGTTCAAGCGTACCTTCACTTCTCATGCTAGCGCCAAGCTATCGCCATACTAGCGTCACATTTGGTGCTAAAGGAGCTGTCCTGGGGTCGCCGCATAACGAAGACGTAACATTCATCTAGATCATGGTTCGTGTGCGATTCTATGAAAAAAGTCGAACCAAGGCTTTTTGAAACTCAACAAAAAATGCAACGGGTACCGGGAGCATCATGGAGAGAAGTGCCCCTTTGGGGTTCACAGTTTCGGGGGGTTCGGGCCTAGGGTTGGATCACGAGGGCTCTTAGCTCCAAGCATAAGCCCTCAGGAGTTGCCAAAGGCTCCTTTAAACAACCCTAAACTCCAAACCCGAATCTCTAAACCCTAAACACTAAACCCCTAAAACCCGCAAACCCCTGAACCCTAAACCCCTAAACCCTGAAATCCAAAACAACCTGAACCCTAAACCCCTTACTGTAAACCCTGCAGTAAACTCGTAAACCAATTCTGAACCGCAGGGCCAAGGCCCGAGTCTAGGGTCCCGGCAAGGTAGGGCAGCCATTCCTCATCTGCTGGCAAAGCCAGAGTCAAACCCTGAGCCCTAAACCCTAAACCCTAAACCCTAAACCCTACACCCTAAACTAGAGTCAGGTTTCGGGTTCAGGGCCAGTCCAGGGGTTCGGGTTTAGGCTTTGAGATTTGCGGTTTGGGGTTTAGGGGATTTAGGGTTTAGCGATTCGTGTTCAACCCTAAGACCTAAACCCTAAACCCTAAACCCTAAACCTCCCCCCCCCCCAAGCCTTAAACCCTAAACGAAGTCAAGGAGCTCTTAGAGATGGATGGAGGTAAGCTTTTGCCTGGGCTCTGATGCAGACCACACGCGGGCGGCGGGGGCTTCATTAACTCAGCCTCCACTGCGGGTTTGGGGTTTAGGGTTTAGGGTTTAGGGTTTATAGTTTAGGATTTGGGGCCTTAGGGTTTAGGGTTTAGGAAGGGTTCTAACCCATTTTGGGCGTTGCTGTTCAGTATTTAGGGTCTAGAGTCTAAAGGGTGCCACAACAAGGATTGGACTCTTTTGGGGTATATTTAGGTTACGCCTATTTTAAGACATGGCCAACTACCTCTGACCTGACAGGGGAGACAGGTTAGGGCAGGGCCCAGTGTCCCTGAATTAAGTACGGAAGCCTCTTGCATCACGTGCCGCCGGTATAGTCTAAGGAGCACTGGTTCTTAAAATGAGCCCTAAACCCCAAACCCTCAACCCTAAACCCACAAAGACTGACGCAGGACTTTCGGGTTTCCGGAACAAGCCCGCACATGACCCCGAGGAGAGGCCGTAGTCTCTTTTTCCTGCAACTCCGCCGTTGGAGCCGCAGCAGTTTCAGACTTTCCAAGAAACCCTAACCACAAACCTAAACCCTAAACCCTGAACCGCCCTACAAGCCCTAACATAGTCCTCCGTTCCCCTCTCTAGGGCCGGACTCCTCAATATGGGTTTAAGGTTTAGGGTCTAGGGTTTAGGGTGTGGGGCTGGAGGACCCTCAAAACCCTAAAAGGTCAAATCCGAAACCAGACCCGGGGGTAACCTAGGCATACAAGGGGGGCACCTTTTTGGTTTAAGGGGGCTTACGTACAAGGTCACCCAAACCCTAAAGAAAGGGCATAAGGGCCTACTCTGCACGAGAAGCCCCGCACACTGGCGCTTGTAAGCAGTTATATGATACTAAACCCTAAACTTTAGGGTTTAGTATCATAACTGCTTACAGGCGCCAGTGTGCAGGGCTTCTCGCGCAGAGTAGGCCCTTATGCCCTTTCTTTAGGGTTTGGGTGCCCTAAACCCTAAACCCTAAGCCCTAAACCCTAAGCCCTAAACCCTACACCCTAAACCCGAAACTCTAAACCCTGAACCCTAAACCCTAAACCCTACACCCTATTTGATTCAATACCTGGCGGGGCAACCTCCGGCTCTGCCATGACATCCTCGCAGTAGGCCGCGAAGCCTGCGCTTGGGGCTTGGGCTCTTCATTCTTTTTTGCGGGGGCGGGGGGGGAGGGGGGGGGGGGGGTTTTTTCCCCCTAAGCCCTAAACCCTAAACCCTTATGAACCCTAGACCCTAACAGGGCCCTAAACCCTGAACCCGAAACAGGCTTTAGGGTTTGTACCCCTAAACCCTACACCCTAAACAGGGTTTAGGATTGTATGTGTTGAGGGGTTTGAGAGGTTGCGGGGTTGGCGATTTTTTCGGTGTGTTTAGGGGCTGAGGGTTTGGGGGTTCAGGGCTTAGGGTTGTAGATTTTGAGGGGTGGCCGGGGGGGGGGGGGGGTTCGGCGGACCCTAAACCCTAAACCCTAAATCCTAAACCCTAAACCCTAAACCCCGTTTTGGCAGTTTGGGTCGGGTTGGAGGAGTTTACAGTAGGGTTTAGAGCTTTCTCGGGGGCTTTCAAGTGCTTTGGGGGGCTTCGGGGTTCTGGGCTGCTTCAGGGTTTAAGGAGCTTGAGGCTTCATGGTTCTCGGGCTTTAGGAGCTTCGGGGTTCAGGGTTTAGAGTCTAGGCGAGTATGTTTCAGGGTTTTAAGGGCTTCGCGGTTCGAGGTTTAGGATGTTTGTTCTTTTGGGTGGATTGGGGGGGGGGGGGGGGGGGAGGTCTTCCGAAAAAGAAAGAGGGCGCAGCTTTCTTAAGCTTCCGAGTTTGTTTCACACCCTATTTCCGTGATACCCGAATATCATCATAACATAATGGCATAGCAACATTGTAACAAAACCATGAAAGAAAAACATAATAGTAACCAACAGAACAAGAACCCTGCATCAATCAAACTCCCTAGGGTTTAGGGTTTTGGGGTTAGGGGTTAAGGGTTTAGGGTTTAGGGTCAAGGGTCTAGGGCTCGGGTTCAGGCTTCAAAGGTGGAAGAGTTTTAGGAGCTCCCTCATGCCGGGCAGCAAACCAGACGAGGCCTGAGGACGAGCCTTAGGGGAGCAACAAACCCCAAGCCCTGAAGCCCTGAAGCCCTGAAGCCCTGAACCCCTAAACCCCAAAACCCCTTAACCCCTAAACCCCTAAAACCCTAAACCCCTAAACCCCTAAACCCTTAACCCCTACATCCCTAAACCCCTATAAACCCTAAACCCTAAACCCTAAATCCTCAACCCTGATGAAAACCAAACGCCTCGCGCTGCTGCCAGGCGCAGCTCGCCCCTCCAAGCGCGCAGCGCCGCGCACCCACGTGGGGCAGCAAAAGCCTTGTTTGTCCAGATGTTCCAAAATGTGGGGTTTCCGAAATTCGGGGTATCTTACTGGGGTCCTTATGGGAGAATCCTACTGTTTTGGATCTACTGTATATTGGGGGTCCCCTATTTTCGGAAACCCCCAAGTGAAGTAACTAAGGTATGGCTGACAGCCGTACTAGGAAGAACCATGATTTCAGGAGTCTTTCTTAATGCGGAGATCGGATGATGGTGGGAAGAACCCTACACCCTACTTCTATCCCGAAACCCGAAACCCGAAACCCGAAACCCGAAACCCGAAACCCTAAACCCTAAACCCTACTTATGACCTTAAAATCCTAAATCCTATAACCCCTTCTTCTACCCAAATTGCGGCCCCGTCGCCCAACTCTCGAAGTAGCGGGCACTTCCTTCTTCGAGGCTCGGCTTGAGGGCCTTACGGGCCCTCTGAATAGGTAGGGTACTTTCTAGGGTTTAGGGTTTAGGGTTTAGGGTTTAGGGCTTGATAGGGTCTAGGGTTTGGAGCTATTTTCCCGCTATTCCCACACAAACCGCCCCATTTTAGGCAAAGCCCCATATTGGGGAGTGTGCAAGCTTTGGAGCTTATCCGGAAGTTCAGCACATTGGTTAGGCGGCCGCAAGCGCATTCAGGCAAGGTTCTTTTGGACCCCGCTTCTAACCCTACTCCACGCACCCTCAGCCTCCAAGTAGGGCTTGCAAAAGGTGGAGAGCTTCAAGGAACAATATAGGGGCATGAATAACTAGAATAACGCTTTTGGGGGCTAGTATAGTATGTATATATAAAGGGACCATATTCCGACTCCTAGATCAGGGCTTCTTGTGTGAAAGTCTTCTCCAAGTCTTGGAATTCACCTCTTCGGGCATGATGGGCTTCTCAAGACACGGTTGGGGTCCCGAGGGTGGGTTCGCGAGTGATGAATCCAAGAGTCGTTTCCTGTGTCACGAAGCTTGTTGAAAGACTTATGATGGCACGGTCTTTAGGTGTGTGGTCTAACTCTTGGAAAAGGTGTGTTGACTGACCGCTGGTGATGGTACTAATGGTGTGTCTGGAGAGCGTGAATCACTCCTTGAGACTGGATTTCTGGGTCTAGAAGCTGTTCATATTGTGTCCTTGAGTCTAGAGCTTATAGACAGGGTCCCGAGGGTGGGTTCCTTGTCAAGAGAGTTCCTGTCCAAAGTTCACGTCTCAAAGCACTAGATTCAAGGGTCTAGACGTGTGGAAACACAGGTTGGGTCTCAAGGGCGGATTCAGGGGCAAGACTGACAGGTGGGATGGATTCCAGGGTCTCCAGGTGTGATGGGTGAACAAGGCTGTGGAACAAGAGTGAGAGAGATGAATGGTACGGTTTCTAGGGGCGGTTACTAAGTTAGGAGAGAACACCACCAACAAGTGCGGTTTCCTGGGCTAGACAACGGCATGGGTTGGGACGTTCCCCTCATACTAATTGCGATTATTATTGCGGGTGGGGAGGTACTAGAATCCCTACTAATCTCTGCCCCTTAATAATAAACCTCCCCTACCCCTAACATTAAATACCCCCAACATAGTTATACTATAGTATATGGGTGGAGATTTAATATTAGGGGGTAGAGGGGTTCAGTATTAGGGGGAGGGGATCATGGACTGTTAGTATAAGGGGGAACATCCCAAGGCATGGGGCATCATGTTGGTGGTGTTGCTCTTCCTTCCAACCCCACTAGCCAAACCTGCGCTCAGGCCTTTGTATTTTGGGATCCCCACGCTACTACGCTGAAAACAGCCCTAAGGACATCGCCCTAAACCCTCTAAACCCAACAAGGCCCGTCTTCGAACCGAAAGCCCGAACTGCATACCAACACGTGTGATTGTGTGATTGTGTGATTGTGTGATTGTGTGATTGTGTGATTGTGTGATTGTGTGATTGTGTGATTGTGTGGTTGTGTGATTGTGTGATTGTGTGATTGTGTGATTGTGTGATTGTGTGATTGTGTGATTGTGTGTTTTGTGGTCACTTCTCAAAAGTATGGTCCTTTTTGGCGGGTCCTTATTACAAGGCGCCCCTAGCATTTCGGGCACCCATAAAGGGATCATAACTTAGAGAACTGAC